TCCCTCTCCCTCCAAACCATGGGGCATTTAGGCTTGCAGTCCCCCTGCACTTCACTGTGATTATCTGAGAAGGTCTGACCTTAGCTCAGATCTTGCAGTTTTGCTGTCTCCCAGGGGTTAAAATAGTTGTTTACCAGAGATCTGATAGCCTTCATAAAGCGAAGTACATTTATTTGACAAAAGCCTTATAGAGAAACTGCATCATAAAACAATAAACAATCTGTAAGCTTACATAATTTTACCAGGTGTCACCCATCTTCAACATGGAGATTTTCACGGGTTCCAGTCCTTCAAACCCTTCAACAGGGTTTGTCCCCTTGGTTAAAATTTATGTCAGTTTGTTGGATCAAAATGAAGGTCTTCTGGCAGTTCAGACTCACACGTTTATATAGTTTGAGGCCGTTGTTGCCCAGGCCTCTTGAAACAATCAATGCCTTTTTCTCCTGGGCATAAACCTTCAAAGATAGCATATCTGCATAACTGGCATTGGGATTTTTATTAATTTCTCCCTAGTGATTCCAGATTCCACAGAAAATCCACCCAGTGAGCCCGGAACACACAAATAAATATAGTGTGTATTGATACACAGGTCTCTGAATATTCCACAGGCCGGATTATCTGCCCTATCTCAATATCATAGTCTTATAAATTTTCATGCTTCCAAGGTCTGGTTCACAAAGAAGAGGCGGATGAGAGAGACAAGATGGGTGAGGTAATATCTTTTATTGGACCAACTTCTTTTGGTGGAAGGGACAAGCTTTCAAGATTCACAAAGCTATTCTTCAGGTCTGGGGAAGGTAACCAGAGTGTCCAAGCTAAATACAAAGTGGGATAGATTGTTAAACGTAAGGGTTTCACCCATGTTGTAGGAGACCACTGAAAATGAACAGTCCTGCAGTTGTAGGACAAAGGAGAGTGCAGTGGGCAACAGTGTTTTACAAATGGTTCCAGTGAGTCACAAAACCAGTGTTTCTGTTAAGTCCATGGTTTATAGTTTCCAGCAGAGTTCTGAATTTAAGTTCCCAGGCTTATCTTTTGAAGGTGTCATGCAGGTTTCTTTTGAGGACAAGGACAGAGAGGTCAGATATTGAATTATTGCTTTGTGAAGTATTTGCCCATGGGTGACGAGGTGTTTTTGTCTTTTATCATTTTTCTGTGTGAATTTATTCGAGAGCATAGTGCTTGTCTGGTTTCACCCACCTAGTTGTTGCGGGGGCATTGGATGCACTGATGAGGTACGCTACATGTGATAGGCATGTGTAGGACCCATCACTTTTGAAAGGTGTGCTATGTGGGAGTATTTGTAATTTTAGCAGTGAAGACATGTCTGCAGGCTTTGCATCTGTTGTTAGGACAGGATTTGGTACCGCTTTGAGTTGTGGCCTAGTCTTTTGGGGAGCTTGCTTCTGATGATGAGCTTTATGAGGTTGCAGGATTGTTTGAAGGCCAGAAGAGGGGGGTCCAGGAAAGATTTATTTCAGGATGTGTTCCCCATTGAGTATATGTTATAACTGTTTGATAATACCCTGTATGGGTTCCAGTGTGGGGTTGTAGGTGATAACCAGGGGTGTGTAATCAGTGGTTGTTTTTCCCCCCTGTTTTGAAGCAAGTTCTCTCTGGGTGTTTGGATGACTTTCTATGATGTGCAATCTCCTTCTCTGGTGGAGTGTCCTCATTTGATAAAGAGGTTTTAAGTGTATCCCAGACTTTCTCTTCGGAGCATATTCTAGACTATCGGAATGCTGAGATAACATTTATAAAATTGATGCAACCGTCTCAAATATATGCCCGTGTCTGTCATATCTGTCAATTTCCTTTAGATTAAAAATGTTACAATGAAATGTGTCAACATTTCCAGACTGAACTTCTCATTCTGTGGAAAGTTAAAATATTTTGCCCCCCTTCCCCCCCCCCCCCCTTTTTTTTTTTTGAATGAAAACGTGTTGAAGCACTGGAATTTCTGGGGAATGGAAATTCTGTTTTTCAGTCAGCTCTAATATTAAAGTCCAGAACAGATAGGTGTGAGCCATTGTGCTTATTATTGCGGATCATGACACACTCCCACAAGTGCCTAATCCATCTAAGGCAGTGATGTTAAATCTGTGGCCCTTGAGGAAAACTTTAAGTAAAAAGTTTTGTATATAATTATGAAGTTAAATTTCCTCTCTGAATTACACTCTGCAATTTTTAAACTGATTTGTTAGAATCAAGCCTGTCACTATGGAGAGGAGGCACCACCTCTCCAGTTGCCTCCTACTGCTTCCTCTGCAGCCTCAGAAGCAGCTTGGGTATGAGCTGGGAGCACTCTGAGTAGTTGCTGTCTTTTTCTGGCTGTTCAGCAGTTTCCTGCTGGCTGCATCACAGGGGGGAGAAGAGAGTAAAGCTGCTTGCTCCATTTCCTACTCACCTGCTGGGCTATGGGAGCTGCAGGGAAGAAAGGAGACTCTCCTTTGCAGTGATGCATTCAGGAATCTTGACAATGGGTAGGCTGCTGATGTGCTGAAACCACATACTATTATGCTGACTGATATTGTCTCACTGTTTCCTTGTGCTCCCTGGCCTCCTGTATCCATCTGTTGTCACTTGTCTTATACTTAGATTCTAAGCTCTTTGGGGCAGGGACTTGTCTGTTTCTACCTCTGAGCACAATGAGTTCATGGTGCGTGACTAAGGCTTCTAGGTGCCACAATAATACAAATAGATTGATGGCCTCTTCCTGAGCCTAAGGGAGTGTGTAGGAAAGGATGGCTCCCCTCCCCTCCCCTCCACAGCCACACAGGGCAGTCCAGGAAAGGGGAAAAGGAGGAGAAATTTAAAACCAACAACCAGTTATGACTTCTCTAACCTGGGCTAAAGCCCAGAACCAGGAATTGTAGGGACTGCTGTAACTTGTATCATCTGGAAACAATCCCCTATGGAGCACCCACCAGCTGGGGATGGCTGAAACAAAGTGCACTTCCTCTGCCTGCCCTGCCCGCTCCACACCCACTACATCAGAGGCTGCGGTAGAGCTGGTGTAGGAACTGCCGCTGCCAACTCTACAACTTCTGCCCCATGCTAATGAACTCCCCAACAGGAGACTTGCAGGTGGCTTTCACTTCTTTGTGCTGCCTCAGAATCTGCCCTAAAGTACTGACTGTGCCCCCTTGATCTTTTTAAATAAAATGTTCGGCTGCTCAAAGGTGTGTATCTGTATAGAGAGAGCACCAGTCACTGAATTGTCTAGGTAATATCTAGTATTTTGTGTGCTTAGGAACTGTAGATGCTGACGTTTACAGCTAGCTCACACTGGACTGATGCCTGGATATGTTAAAACTAATTCAAAGCCCCCTTGCCTTGATCAAAGCCATTGTGGAGGAGGTAATACTGAAACCATTAAGGTAACTAAGACAGCTGGTGAGACAACCTCCACCAGCAATGCCATTTCTCTGGAAATAGCACCAATGGATTTAAAATGTCAATTGTCATGACTTATCTGTAAGAGGATGGTCTGTCCCTTTAAGGGCTGGGGGTCCTGGGGCCAGCCAGCACTGTTCAGTTGTCAGACCCAGCAATTATAAAAGCCAGAAAGTGGCTCAGTTGGGGAAGGGAAGCTGGTCCCTGCAACAGGCCGGGGAGCAGAGTTGCTCAGGGGAAGAGCTTTTGGTGGTGGTTTGTGATTTTTTTTTTTAAATGTGACTTAGTCATGCATTGAGGGAAGGGCCTGAAAGAGACTTGTCTGTGGTGTTAGTTCTTCCTGGGCTGGGGACAGACAGGTTAGCAGGCCTATGCTATCAAATTAAAGAGAAGAAATCATAAGTGGAACAGGATGTCAGTGTACTAAATGACCTGTAGGAATGGAAACTTCAAGGTCTAAAAAATTCTCACTACATAATAATTTATAATGCACACTTAGGGCCTGATCCAATGGCTATTGAAGTCAATGGAAAGACTCTCATTGACTTTAGTGGTCAAAGGATCAGATCTTTATAGCATGGGTCTTCAGCCTGGATGTTGTGAATAGGCCTGGGGGTAATGACTGCCCTTACCTTCTCTATGGCTGAATGGGAGATACAACAAACAATAGTTTGGAGGCTTAACATGGGGTCACCCTATACAATGCTTTGAGAACCACTGATGTAGGATAAAAACATTAAGGCTGGGTTTTCAATGGGACTTGTGTTCCAAGGAACTTTCAATGGGACTTGTGTTCCAAGGACACTTAGTTGCTTTTGAAAATTTCAGCTTAAGTGCCTAATAAATCACATGTAGATTGGAGCTTTCAGTTTACAGATAAACCTATTTTCCTTTGGGTTGAGGTTGGCCTCCACTGGGCAATAATGCCTCCTGTGGCTTTTGCAGTCTCTATAGTTCATAACTAACAGGTTCATAACTGGTACAGATGCTGCGACTCAAACTGTGACCTTGACACAGAGGAAGCTGGGTTGATGTTGATGTGCCATGCATCCATGACATTCAATCCATTGTTTCTACCAGTGAGAGTTCTCCCTTAAGAACAGTAGCAATTTGACTTGTTCCTGTGAAATTCATTCAAGTGTATTCTTTCTCTCCATTTTGAATTTGATTTGGGGTGTCTCAGGCACATACAGCATATAAGGAAAAGAAGTAAATTCCTAAGAAGATAGCAGCCCGTAGTGCTCTGTTTTTTTGGGTTTATTGTAAGGGGAGGAAGTTTTGTGCAAAACACTTATCTCCCACTTTCTGAAAAGGGTCTTACAATGTCAGGCTGGAAATGGGGAAAGACAGCTATTTGATAAAGACAGTTGTTTGTGGCTAAGTATTTCTTGTCCTTTGAGTGTTTCATTAAAATGAAAATGTTTTTCTGTCTCACACATACAAGCTATCCTGCAAGTGAGTGTGACAAATCTCCGCAGGAATGAGATCAGAGCGCATTTCTCTGTCCCTTTCTCTCTCCTATATCTATCTTTGAATTTGGAATGTATCTTATCATACTTCTATGTGACTTGATGTTCCATTGTATTCTATTCTTGTCCTTGCAGTGTGAGTGACAACTGTTAAGCATGGCCCAAGGAGCCACTGATCAAAGTAATGTGGAAACTGCTGACCCAGAGGAGAATTCTCCAAATATGATTGTTTACAGAAAGGTAATGAATTTGTGCTTGTTTTTAAAAACTTTCTGTGCCATCTGTAGAAGGATCCTATTGACCCTTTAAAAGTTAAATATATCTTTTATTCGGTTTGAGAGCATGTATTTTACATTTCATAGGGCAGCAAATACTTATAAGATTTGAGGGCTGATGTTTCTCTATGCTTGCAAGTACTACTTTTTTGTAGATGTAATATATAAACATTTGTTATATGAAATGACTAGACCAATGCTAATACAGTTTGCAATTCATATTTTTAATAGTGAAGCAATTATTTACCTATTCAATTTACTAAAAATTACATGCTTTGTGACCCTTATCCAATATATAGTCTGTTCTTCCATACAGTGGATTAATTACAAATTTTTAAACGGCCTGATGGTACCTTTGAGGTAACTGATGTATGTATTTAAGAACCATGGTGCTTAAAACGGGAGGTGGAAATGACTTGAAATCCTGACTGGTAATTTATCTCAGTTGGCAGCATATGAAGCTTAACTTATAAAACTGTAGCATAAAACCCCAACAGTATTGTTTTTATTTTTTTTTAAACAGATGGATATAGTACCTTCATTCACTGTGATAAAATGTCTCATTTTGAAGTACTCTGGGGGTGGGGGAGTTAAAGCTGAAGGAAAAACAATCTTTTAAATTATAGCTATGAGAGCATTGATTTATTTTCAGATTTGTGTGTCTGTGGACTATGGAATTGGGTCTCTCTATAAGGAACAGTAAAACACTGAAAATGTTTTCTATACAGTGTGGGAAACTGCTGACTAAAAATGAAATTTCTTGCGTAAATCAGGAAAAACTATGATCTACCATCTGTTTATCTGTGCCCTGAGAGAAATGCTGAATTTTATTAAGTTACGTCATTCAGCACAAATGACATTTGCATATATAGAACAGTCCTAATTTAAATTATTTTTACTCATTTCTTTGTTTAACAAAATGGTTATAAATAAGGGAAATATGCTTTTGTCATATTCCAAGATTTTGTTTTTCACTGCACGATTGTGATCTCAGATAATTTTTCATATGCTGGAAAATAATTTGGGTTGCATCCACAGCATCAAGCTTTGAACTTGCTGTTTTTGATAACCTTGGTTTGGATTTTGTTGTTGCATGTTAGATCTGGAATGTGAATGTTAATCTACTACAGTTCTCTGAGTAATTATGTGTTTTCGTTTTGGCTTTAAATGTGATATAAATTCATTTAAGCTGCTAATTGAAAAGTAGCTGTAGTTGTTTACCATCAGCTATAGCTACCCTGATTCCACGATCTGAAAGGTCCAACCACCACCATCAAGCTCATCAGGGACCTGTACTTTGAAGGAGGCCACCCAGTTTCTGGTTTCATCACCCAGAATTGAGGGCCTTGGTTCCATTTGAGACACTTTATCCAGTCCTGAAAATGTGATTTTACTTTACTATGTTCACCAGTTTTCTATTCCTCACATAGTTTTTGCACTTATAAATGTATTCAATTTCTGTGGCTGCTGCTAGTTCACTATTATCACTGTAAAATAATTGTTGCGTGATCTGCAATATTAATGGGGAAAAATGCTCCTGCCATTTGATTAATTTCTCTACTCTGGGTACACCAGATGTCAGTACTATCACAATTTCATCCATACTCCATCCAAGTGCACTTGTACTTCTTGATTAGCATGTTCCATATATCATTCAGTAATACTGTTATTACACTAATGTATTGCTGTGATTTTTTTTTCTGGTGCTGGGTTTCGCTGAGGATGGTGCTTTTGTGTTTAGGGCTGGTAAGTGCTGTTTTTTCAACATAGCTCATCCAGTAGCTGTCTAACTTTCTGAGCCTTTGTAGTTGTCTGTTATTAGTGCATTTGTTATGTGTGCAAGTGTCACAAATATAAAGGGAAGGGTAACCACCTTTCTGTATACAGTGTCATAAAATCTCTCCTGGCCAGAGGCAAAATCATTTCACCTGTAAAGGTTTAAGAAGCTAAGGTAACCCCGCTGGCACCTGACCCAAAATGGCCAATGAGGGGACAAGATTCTTTCAGATCTGGAGGCAGGGGAACAAAGGGTTTGGTCTGTCTGTGTGATGCTTTTGCTGGGAACAGATCAGGAATGCAGCCTTACAACTCCTGTTAAGTTAGTAAGTAATCTAGCTAGAAATGTGTTAGGTTTCCTTTTGTTTAATGGCTGGTAAAATAAGCAGTGCTGGAGGGAATCTATATTCCTGTTTTTGTGTCTTTTGTAACTTAAGGTTTTGCCTAGAGGGATTCTCTATGTTTTGAATCTGATTACCCTGTAAGGTATTTACCATTCTGATTTTACAGAGGTGATTCTTTTACCTTTTCTTTAATTAAAATTCTTCTTTTAAGAACCTGATTGATTTTTCATTGTTCTTAAGATCCAAGAGTTTGGGTCTGTGTTCACCTGTACAAATTGGTGAGGATTCTTATCAAGACCTCCCCAGGAAAAGGGATGTAGGGCTTGGGGGGATATTTTGGGGGAAGATGTCTCCAAGTGGGCTCTTTTCCTGTTCTTTGTTTAAATGCTTGGTGGTGGCAGCATACGGTTCAAGGACAAGGCAAAGTTTGTACCTTGGGGAAGTTTTTAACCTAAGCTGGTAAGAATAAGCTTAGGGGGTCTTTCATGTAGGTCCCCACATCTATACCCTAGAGTTCAAAGTGGGGAATCAGGGTTAGTTTGTACCTTTCCAAGGAAAGTGTTTTGTTCCTTATTCCTCAGCTGCAGAATAAGAGTATTAAAACCCAATTCTCTCTTTTCCTTATCCCTCCAAAGAAAGAAGCCAACACTTGAATGTCAAGAATGTAATGTGTAGGTTATTTATAGGCTGCTGGCATGTCTCCCTAGCCCAGAAAGGATTCATGCCATACCCAGTGTCTGTTCAGGTTTTTCTTCAGGACACCATTTACTGAATGCATGGACGATCTTCAGCAAATCCCCAAATAAAACAATTTAACATAAAGCCAACAGCTAACTTTCCCCTGACCCAGGGGCTCCTTGCTAGAGCCCTCCCTGTTCTAGCCATCTCTTCCCTATCCTCCTAGATGCCATCTGCCTGGGATTCCCCCTGGTCCAGGGCCTGCCACGCAAGCCAGCCTTCTTCCTTTAGCTTCCAGCCCCCCTTCAACTGAGCTCTTTCAGCCTTTACAGGAATCAGGTCTTATTAGGTAGTTACCTGACCCCCTTCCCAGCTGGGTCTGATAATCCCCTCTACCAGCCCAAACACCTGTTCTTAAAGGGGCTCTGCTTCAGAACAGGGCTGTCTGGCCCCAGATCCCTCGCCCCTTAAAGGGGCAAACCATCTTGTTACAGTCACCATTTAGTTTTATGTCTCTGTACACATAAACATGAGGATAAAACAAAATGAAGTTTTTTAGCTCTAATTAGTTTGTGCTGCTCTTTACAGTGGCTTGCAAGCCTCCTCTTTACTGTTCTGGTTGCTATTTGAATCAGGTTCTTTGAGAAATCCTTTTTATTTCTGTTTCCTTCAGAATTAACTTTCTGGTGCTGAGGTTGATAATAGTCACAAGGCATGTCATCACTGAATGTTGAAAGGGCACTCTCCAGCAGCTTCCTTCAAAACCAGCAGCCCAGCTCCCATCTTACAACACACTCTTGTCTGGCTGGCAGCAGGTCCTTGTTCACCTCATCAGAAAAGAAGTCTGTGTTCTGTAGTGATACCGCTCTGTCAGTCACAGAAGGTGGTTTCCAGTCAGCTAAAGCTCATGCTACCCTCCTATCTCTGTGTGTACCTCAAGATGTAGCCCAAAGAAGCCAACAGGTCTGTCAGATAGGGTGATGTGGGCTGGATTGTAATAAGTGCCTGCTGTAATTTGTCTTGTTTTGTGGAGCTTTGGGCAGGGGTGAAAATAAGATGAAAGACTTACCGGTACGGGGCCCCAGAGTTGGGCCCGCGGAAGGGGCGGGGCCTCGGGCGGAAGGGGCAGGGTTGGGAGGGTCAGCCTCCCGCAGCTTGCCCTTCCATGCTGCCTGGCCTGCACCAGCTGGGGCTCCAGCGGTGATTTAAAGGGCCCGTGGCTCCAGCTGCTGCTGCAGTAGCGGTAGCCCCAGGCCCTTTTTAAGTGACCGGACACTGGGGCAGCTGTCCCTTTTGCCCCCCCCCCCCCCATCGGTGGCCCTGCGGGGTGAGGGGCAAAAGGAGCAGTGACGTTAAAGTGCTGCCACGGCAGCGCTTTAACATCAGCTGTGTACAGGTACTGGTGGCCACTTCTTACCGGTACACCATACCAGCCTGTACTGGCCCCCTTTCACCTCTGGTTTTGGGACTAGTTGAGAATTTTACTGCACTCTGCCAGCGACATTTGATTCCTGCCACTCATGTACTGAACTGTGACTAAAAACTAGTAACAATACTTTTTGTGTGGCTCTGGCCATGTCTGGCAAAGACGTTGGATTTTGCTTTTGATGTGATTACAGCACATAGGAAAATTTTTAATTTTGTGGTTTTACAATTGTATTTAAAGCACATTCTTTTATCCTTTAGCCTACTTTTCATGGAAGCAGGAGTTGTCTAAACACAAGGGCTTTCACTGGAAGTGAGTGCCATGCTGCTGCTTATTTCTATTTGTGGGTGGTGCTGAGGGTGGTTCAGGAAGAGGGAGAAATGCAAAAGAAGGCTGGAAGAGGAAAAACAATAGCAGAAAGTATTAATTCATTTTCAGGGCTGTCACTTTTCCTTGAAATCCAAGCTCTGGTGTATTTTTCTAAAAATCTAGCCCCTAAAAGTTCAAACTCTGTGGACCATATCAAGAGAGGAAGCATTCATTGATGCCATCTGGCATTAGTAAATAAACAAAACAAATCTGAGTGACTCATTACCAGAAATAAATTGGTGAATTTGGACGGAGTTCAGAGTAGCAGCAAAAAATGATCAGGGGGCTGGAGGGAAAGATATATGAGGAAAGAGTAAAAGGCTTGACTAAGCAGGGCCATAGCATTCTAAAATATTCAAAGAATGTAAGCAC